TGAGTGTCAACTCGTTAATTTTTAAAAATTTTTTCCCTTTTTTTTTTTTATTTATTTATAAAAAAATAATTTTATAAATTAATTAATTAATTAAAAAAAAAAAAAGAAAAAATTTTGCGTCCAGCGCATCCATTAATATAAATAACAATAAATAAATAAAATTTTTTCTTTTTAAACTTTAAATAAAATATAAAACGATGATAATAATAATAATAATAATTTATTTTTCTTCCTTTTGTTTTTTAAAATATTAAATTTAAAATCTAAAAGGGTAAATTTCTTTTCTTTTTTTTTTTAAAATATTCTAAAAATTATTAAAATAACATTTAATATTGTAAAATTATTTATTATTATTAATAATAAATTTTAATAAGTTTCTATATTTATTTCGTGCAAAATATATTAATATATATAATAAATAAATAAATAAATAAGTGCATTTTTATGTAATATATATATATATAATAATTTTCTAATTATTTTAAGAAATTTTCATAATTTTATAATAATCAATCATCTGGCAGTAAAATTATTATTATTATTATTATTATTATTATTATTATTATTATTATTATTATTATTATTATTATTATTATTATTATTATTATTATTATTATTATTATTTTAGATAAAATAAATTTTGTGTTTTTTTTTTGATGTGATTATTATTATTATTATTATTACGAATGAAATTTGGTTCAAATCCCGTATGGTATATCATTTGAAAAGCATAACGGTCTCGACAATGATGTTATTTTATGATTTTTTCTATTCGTGTTCTTACAATATTTAGTTAACCAAAAATTATAAAAAATACTTTTATTATTGTATAAATTTAAATAAATGTTATCGTTGAAAAAATGATTTGTAAAAAAAAAATTATTATTATTATTATTATTGCTTCGTATTGTTTGTTTACAATTATTTATTTTTGAATTTGAAAATCCCAACGGTCGTTTCGACGAGGGTATCGATAATTTTTTTATATTTAAATTATCAATTTTTCTATCGTAATAATTATAATTATAATTATCATCATCATCATCATCATCATCATCATCATTATCATCGTATTCGTAATAACGATTCAAATTATCATCATTCGGATTTATTTTATTTAATAATAAATTACAATTATATTTATCGCAACAATAATTTTTATTATTATCCAAATCTGCAAATGGTAAATTATTATTTTTTAAGTTGGTCAAACTGTTATTTAAAAATGTTTCCGTTGACGTTTCGAATAATTTTCGCGTCTTTGTAAAAAATCTCATCGTGTTTTCTTCATCTATGACTTTTCGATCTCCTAATTTTTCATATTCATTTTTCCAATCGTGTTCCGGTGTATTCGTTTCGAACCAAAAATCCGTTGAACCGGAAGTAATTGAATTTTTATCGGATAATGACGATAATAACGATTCGAACGTTTTTGATTTTTCTCGTTCGATTGTAAATGATTCTTTTGACGTATCTGGTGACCATATTATATTTTCATCCGAATATATTTCGTTTGTGTAAAAATTATCGTCGTGTAAATTTTTTTTTTTCACGTCGTCAAATGAATTTGAATTGAAAAAATAATTTTGTGAATACATAATGTCGCCATCTTCGGATGAATATTCGCTTATTTTTCCCGGTGAATTTATCGGATAAGAATCGTAGCAGTAATAATAATAATAATTGTTATTAGTATTATTATCGTTATTATTACTTTTACCGTTTATTATTAATTTCGATTTAATATTTCCCCTATCTTTTTTTACATTTGAATTTTTTTTATTAAAATCTCTATTCGGTCTTTCCGGTAATATCCTTTCTCGTTTATTATTATTATTATTATTATTATTATTAAACCAAACGGAAAACTTATTATTTCTATTGTTGCTGATATCATCTGAAGGAAATGTTGTGCTGCGAATTACTTTCGACGTAGGATTTAATTTTTTATGCGAACAATAAATAAACGATTGTGATTTTTTCCATATTTGTTTGTTTAAATTTATGTTATCACTTATTTTGTTGTTGACTTCGATCACTGTTTTTAAAATATAAATACAATAATAATAATAATAATTTTTTTTCCGTTATTCCTACCGTCGGTTTTTTGTAAAATAATAAAAAAAAAAAAAATTATTCTTTACCTTTATGTGGTCTCTGTCACACTTCTTGTAAAAATTTTAAAGGACAAGCACCTTGCCTGTTATCAACACCACGAATCATTATCTTACCATCAATTTCCTCACCGACTTGTACGACAATCTTAAAAACAAAGAAAAAAATATATCGAATGAATTGTAATATAACCACAGGGAATAAGAAATTAGAGTATTACCAAACACAAAACTAACTTGATCTCTGAGCAGCCTGATTGCGGTTTCGCCTTCTTGAATTTGAAGATTGGGGGTGACCTGTAGAGGTCCTTCACCTCGTTCGAGTTTCTCTACGTATTTAGATGGAAAATAACCAACACGACCGAGACATTTTCCTTTCCACCAATCAGGATCACTATTATCCATTACAGTTACTTTATATCCGGCCCTAAACAAAAACCAATTTATTTATATATATTCTTTTATGTAAATTGATATTATTATTATTAATATTATTAAACTTACTTTAAATCCAATTCGTCTTGATGTCTCGATTTAAAATTATACAAAACAACGTATAAATTCGTCGGTAACAATCGGTGAGGTTTCTAAATACAAACAAAAAATTTAATTTAATTTTACATCAAATCACAATAATATAAAAAATATATAAATATAATATAAATACCGGTGATGGACACGGTGATGTGCTAGCAGAAGACAAACTTCTTTCATTATCATCTGGTAATTCAACAGAAGACATTCTCATATTTCTAGCTGATAAAAGTCTTCGATTATGAACCGGACTTGATGGAGCTAAAAAAAAAAAACAAATTTTTTTTTTCTCTTAAAATTAATAATCAAATTAATTAATATTATTATTATTATTATTAAAAACTATTTAAACAATTATCGTAAACACACATGTAAACAAAAAAATTTTATTATTATTTATATATATTTATTTATTCTATTTAACTATAATCGATAATTATTGACTTTTTGAAAAACTTTTATTATTAATAATAAATTAATTAATAACTAATAAAAATTTTAATATAATTTTTATATTATAAAATCTAATCTAACTATTATTATTATTATATTAATTATTACTTTTAAATTACTTAACAGAATAAATTTTTCTGCTGATGGTGTTTGTGTGTGTGTGTGTGTGTGTGTTTGTGCACTTTTTGTAAAATCAACACAAATTTAAATTATAATTTTTAACAATTATAAAACTACATAAATAATAATAATAATAATAATAATAAGCTCTGATATAAGCATTTAAATTTAAAAAAAAAATAATTAAAAGTTATTAAAAATAATTATTGATGATGATTCTACATAATAAAAAAAAAAAAAATAAATTTCATGCTTTGATGGTACATCGATGCACAGACAACATCATCCACCGATAAAAGAAAATAATAATAATGATAATAAAAAAGGATGAAAGATGCATCTGCTTCTTATTAGTTAAAAAAAAAAATTAAAAAAATTAATTAATAAATTAATTATTAATAATTTAAACTCACATTTTTTGTTTTTGGTTTATTTTTTATTTTTATTAAATATTAACTGGAGAGAAAGAAACCAATAATGTAAATCATTATTTATTATTATTATTATTGCAAACAAACGCATCTTTTTTTTTTTTATTCACTTTCTAAACAATTATTATTATTATTATGAAAAAAAAAAAAAAAAATTAAAAGTGTCATCATACTCGACCAGTGTTTTATAATTGATGAAGTATTGCTTCTCGACATAATTCGGAATCTCGAAAATGTGATGGTCGCTACAAAAACAAAAAAAAAAATAGAGAAACAAAAAAAACAAACGGAAAAATTTTGTCCAATTTTCCAAAATAAATAATAATAATAATAATAATGATAGTGATAGTGTACAAACATTCAAAAAGATATTTTAAATAATAATGTGTTTAAACAAAAAAAGAAAATTCATTCTTTTGCTTTGTGTGCTAAAAAAAAAGAAAATTTTTTTTTGTTGCTTTGTTTGTTTGTTTGTTTGTTTGTTTGCATTTGCAAGTTTCGCTTATTGAATTTAAATATAGAAAAAAAATAAAATAAAATAATAAATGATTATTATTATTAAAATTAACATACATTGAATTTTAGATGAACTACTTTGACTGGAATGTCCAGCGCTGTATGATGACACTTGTGCCCTCCTTTTTTGGGCTTGTTCGGTACTCTCTGGAGAATCCAGTGATAAACTTTTCATTCTTAAATTCAATTTTTGTTTTCTCGGACTGTGAGGAGCTGAAAATAATTTTTTTTTTTTTTTTTTTCTTTTAAATTTTTCCTACTCACAAAAAAAAATTTTTTTTAAATAAAATTTTCCGGTATCTCATTTTACTTTAATAAAAAAAATATGTTTTAAAAAATTCGTTAGTAAAATATTCGTTAGAATTTAACAATCAAAATGTAAAATGAGATTCCGCCATTTTTTTTTTTTTTTAATTTATTCACGTTTTATTATATATAATTTAAAAACGAGACACAAAAGAAAATTTTTTTTTCCTTTTTTTTTGGACATTTTTTTCTTTTTTATTCCGGGTATTAAAATTTCAAAGTTAAAATTTTAATTTTAATTTTTTTTTCTCCAGTTTTTTTTTTTTTTTAAACGTTTGCTAAAAAAAATTTTTTTTAATAAAATAAAATAAAATTTAAAAAAAAAAAAAAAAACGTTTTTTTTATTTTAACAACAATTCACAATAAAAATAAAACAAAGACAAAAAAAAATTATTATTATTATTATTATTTTATCACAGGTTTAATTATTATTTGACTTATCATCATCATCATCATCAAGTCAAATAAATAATTTAAATAAATAATTTAAATAATAAGTCATTAATTAAAAAAATCAATTAAATAAATAAATAATAATAATAATAAAATTTTTATCATCATCGACTCGTCATATTCGTTACAATGGAACAAATGACTAAAATTTCTTCTTTTTCCCCCTCCTCCCCTCCATCCACATTTTTTCTCTCCCATTCCGATCCGCCCCTCCTCTTTATTCCCATATTCCCTCCCCCCGATTTACGTTTTTCCTTTTTTTTTCTTTTTTTTTTAATCCTACGAATTTTTTTTTTATTCTAAAAAATAATAATAATAATAATAATAAATAATTAAATTGTCTTAAAAATGGGATTTATTAATTAAAAAATTAAATAATAATAATAATAAAGCTATCGTTTTTTATTCGCTTTATTTTTATTACGAGGATGAGGTTGAGGGGTCGGAGGTAAACTAGTTTTCAATAAAACGCCCCCATTTTCTTGAAGGGAACATGACGAAGAACCTGATGCCGCCCCCAAAAATAAAGGTTGTCCAAAAGGTCGAGTTCTTTCTGCATCTGGAAAAAAAATTTAATAAATAAATAAATAATCCTACGAAGCGCATAAATAAATAAATAAAAAATTAAAAGAAAACCAACTCCCATTTTGTAAAAAAAAAAAAAAAAAAAAAAAACAAAAATAAAAGTAATAATCGTTTTGTAACCGCCATCTTATAATTTATTCGTTACGTCAGAGTCCTGTAATAAAACCGGAACCGGAAGAAAACAAAAAAAAACATTAATAATAAAAAATGTTAAAATATCTGAAAGCAAAAGCAATTATAATCGACACGCTGCTGCTCACACCACACAAAACATTAAAAAAAAAATTCATAAATTTCCGCAGCATTTATTATAATGTTTGCACAAGCGAAAAATAAGGAAAAAAAATCCCGTGGGATGATTGATGTGACGTAGGACGTTAAAAAAAAAGGGGGGGAGGAGGGGTAACTTTTATTCCGGCAATGAATTTTTCGGAAAAACAAACGCACACGTATAAATTGTACGTTTTAAAAATAATAAAAAAAATAATAATAATAATGTTAATTTAAAATTTAACGTGAGTAATAATAATAATAATATGATGATGATGATGATGATGATGATAATAATGAAAAAGAAACAATTTGAGAAAAATTATCCTACTGTCGGGTAAAGAAATAGATCTGGTGGAAGATTCTCCGCGGGATTTTCCACCGAAAACGGAAAAGCTCTTGAAACCAGTAAACAATCTACGACGCAGTGCCGTATCCATATCGTCTAAAAATAATTAAATTTTTATAATTATTTAATTAGTATCCCAGAAAAAAAAGAGAGAGAGAGAGAGAGAAGCATGCCAAAAAAAAAATATTATTAATAATATACATTAATCAACGTGAGTAATTTTTATTTATTTATTTATTTTTTTTGTGAGATTATTTTAAAAATAATTACATTAGTATTAGTTTTAGTTGTTGACGTCATTTTTAGTAATGATGACGTCATCAAAATAAAATAGCGGTGTACTTTACATTTACTACATTTAGCTCCGAGTGATTTTTTAGCCAACTAAAATGACACATTTAATTACTTTAAGCAAAATTTAACACTACACAATTACCCGAATAATATATATTTTTATATTTTCATAGGATGATGATGATTAAATAAATAAATTTCCCGGGAAAGAGTCATAGAGTAAAAAAAAAAAAAAAAATCTTGCACTCTCTTACGAAAATAATAATAATTGAAAATGATCCAAGAATTACGTGATTGATTTTTTTTTCTTTTGTTTACACATAAAAAACATATAATCGATAACATTTGACGATGATAGTAATAATAATAATAATAAAATAAATATAACTATTAATGACGTACCTGAACTTGTTGCGAAAGGTACAGGACCGATGGAATGTGATGCATTTCCTTTAAGCAACAGCGGGCCTTGGTGACGCCTCGGCTGCGACCCGGAATCAATACACGAAGACCCAGAAGTCGCAATCCCAATTGCAGCTGAGGGTCCCAAACATGCAGCGTTATTTAATTGGATGACACCGGGATCAGATAAACGGTTTTTATATGTTTTAGGTGGGGAGTGTTGGTAAAAATCGAGATTGGGATGAAAATCGGGAGTTGTTTGATATTCGGATCTCGAATAATTTTTTTGCTGTTTTGTAAAACTATATTCGGATTTTTTTTCAAGTAGTATCCCCTTGTCAAAGCTACAAGTTTTCTCAATTTTATATTCGGATTTTGTCTTTTTCGTCGATATACCCCGACCGGAACTCGATTGAAATTCGTTAGAAAAAATATTTTTTTGAGCGTTTGAATTTTTCGTACTACAACTTATATCCGAAACTTGTTTTATGACCCTATAAACTTTGCTGCTGCTCATTTCGCAATCTAACAGAGGCATATTAAGCGATTATCATGCGAGAAAAAAAAAAAAAAAAACGTGCAAATCGCCAGGCAAAAAAATGGGAAATGATTTGGACGGTGGATTTTGTGAAAGGGAAAGTATTATTTGGGGGAAAAAAGGAAAAAAAATGAACGAATACATTAGTTAGATTTGTTATAAGCAATTTAAATAAATAAATAAATAAAATAGCTAAGGGATGTGGCAATTAAAAAAAAAAAAAATCAAGCTTTACTGCTGACCGTAAGTAAGCCACGCAATTAAAACGCACAACTATACCATCATAACCTTCTATATATTATGTATTTTCTAATAACAAACCAATATAAATAAAAGCAGTAATAATAATAATATTATTGTGGGGAAGTGGAAAGGGAAATTCATTTACTCTACTGTTTACTCACTTTAAGCAAATTTAAATGCTGTTGTGGCAACAAATTCTTCATCAACATAAATTTATATATATATACATCAAATTTATACGAAAGCTTTTTTTTTCTATGCCACCGTCAACAATCAATGTCAACTATTTTTTTTTGACATCATTCGATACATAAAATTACTTACATAAAGCTGTAGGAAGAATAGTAGTAGTAATAATAATGTATGTACATAAATATTTTTTTAATTAATTGATGTAAATCATAATTATTTTTTTTAATAATATCTAAAAGTAAATTAAAATCTATATCATCTATATTATGTATACTAATGTAAAAGCATTATTATCGTGTTAAAACGTGGCTGCTCTTACTAAATCAGCTGTTCATTGCAACAACAACAAATGAATGGATGGATATATTTTCTATTTAAATAATTTAATTTTATAGTCTATAAAAAATTTTGTTTGCTAAAAGCTTTTTCTCGTTTAAAACTGCTCGAGACAAGTGAAAGTGCTTTTTTTTTTTTTGTTTGGAAATGTGATTGATATTTTGTTTGACTGAATGGAAGAAAAGCAAACAAACAAACAGGTTGTACCTGGGTTCGGTTGCGATTTTCTTCCTACAGCTTTTGTTGACGGTAACAGGTGAAAACCTCCCTTGAAAAAATTTTGTTCTTTTCTCTGGCGAATTAATTTCCAACCGAGTGAAGCTGGAAAATTTGAAAAGAAAAAAAAAAAAAAACCCCGTTCGTTAAAAACTTTCTTATCATCATCATGACTTCTAACATGTCTTAACAAATTCAACCCGTTTCCCCCCCCCTCCTCCTTAATTTAAACAACAAACTATCACGACAAACTTGTTTTGAAAAGTGACGTCACTCAAGACTTTATTAACAAAAAAAATTATTATGTAAAAACAATTTTCTTTTCTCCCCATTCATTTTTTTGCACTTATAACAATACCCCCCTTTTCCCAAATCTTTACCTACTCCCCAAACCCCCTCCCCCCCGAAAAAAAAAATTCCAATTACGTTTTAAGCGTACTCAAATTTACTACACGAATTTTAATTATTATTATTACGTTGTACAAAATCAAGGGGAGGCCTCGTAATAAATAAAAATAAGGCCAAAATTTAAAATTATCAATCAATCAATCAATCATAAACTGCTCAAGCAAAAAAAAAAGAAAAAAAATCAAAACAAGCAAAAAAAGCAAAAAACGTCACAACCAAACCAAAATAAAATCAGGTATCATTTTTCCTTTTTCGTTTTTTCCCTCCCCTCCCCCTCCCCGCTTAAATTAGTATAAATGCATTCAAAAAAAAAAAAAAAAAAATGAAAAAGAAAATATTTAATGTTATGAAACGTTAATTAAAGCGTCTCTCTCATTAATAAATAAATTTTTTTATAAGGGTTTTCTTCATTTTCTTTTTTTCATGAAGCGTACCTTGCAATTATTATTATTATTATTACATCTTCTACCTATTTCAATCATCTTTTGTTATATAATTAAAGGTTGACTCTTAATAATAATAATAATAATAATAATAATAATATATATTTTCTTTTAAAATGATAATATTAATAATTCTTTTCCTTTCGATGATAAAATAATAATAAAATGATAAAAACTTACTTTCTTCTTCGTGTTGTTGTTGTTGTTGTTGTTGCGATTCTTGTAATTTTGTATCAATTTCCGATGTTGATTTTTGTCGTCTCAACAATCTTGATTTTTGCTGACATTTCGGTGCTTTATTTTGACAATCAAAATGTACATTCAATTTGCAAACTCTACATTTAAGACCCTGCCTCGTGTGTCCTTTTTTTAAAAAAAAAAAACACGTTTCGGTTAAATTCGGTTAAAAAATGTTTTATTTTAATGACGTCATCAAGGATTAAAACAAAATTTACCTCTTAATACCTGAGAACAAACATCACAAGGAGTTATTTTCTTGTACGTATAATCTTGAAAAGCGTGAGCTGATGGATCTGATGAAAATGTAACAACGCCGCCATCTTTACCGTTTTTTCTAGAAAAAAAAATGATGCATTGAAATAAATAACGATCGAATTGAAAATAATAAATTCGATGGAACAAAATCGAAAAATGGAAAAATTTGATTTATTTTAAACAATTTTCCTTTTTTTTTTTTTTTAATATTGAATCCGTACATTATTTATTTCTTATATTTTCAATATCCGATCGAATCAAATCTAAATTTAAAAAAAAAAAATTATCCAATTGTTTTTATTATTATTATTATTATTAATATTGCAATTTTATATAGAAAAAGCGTGGCATTAAGCTTGATATTAAATTTTTATCCAATAAAATAAAATAAAATAAAATAAAAAACTAAAAATAATGACAACACGAATAGCAACAGACAATTGTGATGCAATTGTTCAGGTTTTACAAAAAAAATTTTTTTTTTTTTTTTAACGTTGGTATAATCGATTCTCGACGGTTTAAACTTTTAGTTTAAATTTTAAATAATTTTATGATTTAGTTATTATTATTATTCTCATCGAATAATTAACGATAAATTTATAAATCGTTTATGATATTTGAAATTTTATTATATTATTCGTTTCCGTATAAGAAAATTTTCTTTTAAAATGGTGGTCTGCTGCGTCTCTCTTGGGTTTCGTTTTCACACAAAAAAAAATATTTAATTAAAATTCAGGGTTTTCATTTTCCAACGACTTTCATTCCAGAATATGAAATTCGAGAATTTTCTCCCGAAAAAAAAATTTTTCTTTTTTTTTTCCACTTCAATTCCAAAACTTTTGAATGCAATACAAAAAAAAAAAAAAAAAAAATGAAAATTAATTTAAAGAATACAATGTAAAATTTTTTTTGACAAAGAATATAATGATGAAAACATCATCATTAAATTATTCAGCTTAAATGTAAATAAATACACACGCGCACGCGCACAACTGCACACGCACTTACGCACCCAACGATATTAAAAATAAAAAAAAAAATAATTCGTCATTAAAATTTCTCCAATTATTTATTTAAAAAATTAAATTTTTCATTTATCCCTCTCGTCTTTCTCCTCCTACTCCCACCCCCACCCTCTACCATCCACTAGCTCCTCCGCAGTCCGATTAAAAAATTATTATTATTATTATTAGGATTTTAATACGATAAAAAAATTAAATGATATTACATTTTAATTCTTAGGTTTACGTATTTAATTAAATTTTTTTTTTTTGCTTCCCCCTCCCACCCCTTTTCGAAATCATTTTTCATTTTGAAAACTTGACTGGAGGGGAAGAGGGAAAGAGGGGAAAGGTAAAACAGGTGGGGGATGGGTGGGGTGGAAAAAAAGGAAAAAATAAGAGAAAAACGTCAAGAGCAACAATATTCAACTGAATAAAAAAAACTTTTTTTTTTTCTCTCTCTCTCTCTCTCTCTCTTGTTTCTTCTTGTTAAATCGATAAATTGACATTTAAAATAATATTAATAATAATAATAATAATAATAATAATAATAATAATAATAATAATAATATTTTTTCTTTTGTTTTTCGCATCCGTTAAAAAAAAAAACCTCCCCCACAACTCGAGTTTTAATTCTTAATCATTACATAAAAAATTTAATAAATAAATAAATACGAGTAAAAAAAAAGGGGGGAGGGGTTGCATGTGTATAAAGTAAATAATTATGGGATACACGAGAAGTGGAAAAACATAAGAACTCCTTAAAAAATTACTCCCTAGTTTTATTATTATCTTAAAATTGGGGGAAAATAAAAAAAAAAAATTTTCTCATAGAAAAAAGAAAAGCTGGAACTTGGAAAATAGGAAAAACACTTTTATTACTGTCATTAAATAAAAATAAAACTCACAATAATAATAATTTTTCTTTTTTCCTTCTTTTATGAATTTTAATAACAAAAATAATAATAATAATAATAATAAGTTTGCCTGACTATATATATACACATTAAAACCCCCCCCTCTCTCTCTCTCTTTCAAAGTAGTAAAAAAAAATTAATTTATTTCCATTTATAAATAATAATAATAATAACAAACGTTTTTCCCCGGTGTTAATAAAAATTTCAAATTAAATAATAAAAGGAAAATCCAACATGGATGGAAAATTTATACATTTTTTCTTACCTTTTTCAAAAGATTCAAAAACTGTTAAAGATAAAAAAAGAAAATAACAAAAATTTTCCTTAGCTTTTCTTTTTTTTTTTTTTTTTCCTCATCGACGAAGTGAAAAAATTATTAACAAAAAAAAAAATTTAATTAATTCAAGTGTGCAAAAAGCTATTATTTGCGGTTTTTGCGTGTTTTCGCGTTCGTCGCGTATTAATAAAAAGTGTAACGTTCTTTTTTTTTTTTTTTTAATGAAAAAGTGTTAAAAAGTGTTATAAATCAATAAACTATTATTATTATAACAACATCGATAATAATCATTTAAAATTTTAAGCATTTGTATTAAATAAACAATCAAAAAAAAAAAAAAAAAAAAAAAAAAAATGAAACACACACGACAACACATATTATTACTAAAAAAATTCATATAAATAATAATAATAATAAAATGATTATGTTGATTTACCTCATTGCAAGAATGGTTGACACTGCATGATACATTTGATTCTTTCTGTCATTGCAATTGTTTAAAAAAAAAATAAAACAAAATAAAAAAAAAAAAAAAAAAAAAAAGAAATTACAATTGATTGAACTGTTTTTTTATGTTGTTGTTGTAGTTTTTCCCATTTCCGGTTTTTTTTTAAATCATAAGTTTAATTTCAAAAGGAAACGTTATTAAACATGCTATTATTATCATTTTTAACAAACGATTAATTCCAATTTTTAAAAAAATTAATTTTTAATAATTTTTCAATGGAATCGATTTTCAAATTTCCCTCCCTCTCTCCTTTTAATAATTAATAATTATAAATAAATAAATTTAACACGTCATTCTATTTAAAATTTATCCGTTATCTCTTATCAATTTGTAAGAAATCAAGTTTGTTAATCAATTCCATTGAATATTGATAATTTACTAAAAAATTTTTTTTGAATATGACCACGATTCGATTTTCATTTAAAATAAATAAATAAATAATTTTTTTTTTGTTAATAACTTACTTATCAGCATCTTTTGATGAATTTCCATTTGCTGGAGGGGTTTTTAAGCTTTTAAAAGCTTTCATCCATTTAGATTTCATGCTTCCAGTTGAACTAGATGACATTTTACGCTCACGACCCGTTTCGGGAGTTTCAATTTTGTTGCTGAAAAGCTCTTTCTGTAACACAATTATTATTATTATTATTAATTAACGGTAAATAAAACGTGAATCTTTTATTTAAAAAAAAAAAAATGTCACGATGATGATGATAATTATATGTATATTATAAAATTACCAGGTGAAGGTGAAGTTTCATCCATCCCATTAATTTGCCTTTTTTTTTTTAAAATAATCACGATCACTTTTATTATTTATTTATTTATAATTAATTAATTATTATAAATAAAAATTTATACACACACACACTCGCACAAACAATGAATATTAATAATAATAAAAAAGGAAACAAAGAAAAAATTTTTTTATCCGTAGGAAAAAGGATGGAAAATGATTTTTATTCACCGACTAAACCTTTCCCGCACATGACCGAAGTTACAAAAACGATGAATCCGGAGTTTTTTTTTATAAGAAAATCTTTTCGACTATTTAAATAACATTGCCTTCATAAATCTTTTTACATTTATATTTTTATATATATATGCATTACTTTTTTTCGGACGTAAAATTTTCCGTTTTGAAATTTGTTGTGTGAATTAAAAAAAAAAAAAAAATAATAACAAAGACAACAGTAATGATAATAATGATAATTATTATAATTATAATAATTGAACGGTGGGGGAGGGTGAGGGAGGAGAGGGGATGTTTTTAATATTCAATTCGAAAATCAATAAAAACACCTTTTTTTCCCACCTATTCTTTACAATGAATTATTAATTAAATTTTGATTTTCCATTACTTTTATGTTTCGCCACACAAAAGGAAAAGTTTTAAATAGAAATACGTACCGATTGAGATTACATAAAAAAAATTTATTAAATAAAATATTTTAATATTGTTATGAAAAAATTGTAAGAGAAAAAAAATTTTCTTTTTATTGAAAATCTTTTTTTTTTTCCCCGATATATTTATCCCACGTAAACAACTATTATAATCCTTTAAATAATTTTTAATAATATTAAAATTTTCTTTTTCGATAGAAAATTTCCTTTTGATTTTATTTATATATATTATATATATTTTTTTTTGAATGTAAAAAAAAAAAAAAGAAAATTAATTATTGAATTATCGATTTTGATTATTATTGATTAAATCATTATTGAAAAAAAAAAAAATTTTAATTAATTAAAATTTATTATTTATAAGGGAAGGAGGGGATGGGTGGAAAAATTATAATTTATTTATGATTTTTTTTTTTTTGGGGGGCTTTTATGTTGATTTTCATAAATTGTCATAAGACATTATAAATAATAAAATGAATAAATTATTATTAAAAAAACCAACAAAAAAAAACCAAACAAACAAAGTAAAAAACTAATATTGATTGGTTTTGAAAATTTGAAATCATTATTAAGACTTCATTATAGTTTTTTTTCCTTCGGGGGGGGTGGGGAGGGAAGGAGGGGGAAGAGAGTAAATCAATAACAATTTGTACTGGAAATCAAATTAAACTTAAAAAGAGAAAAAATTTTCTTTTTTTTTTCTTTTTTTCTAACATTAATGATGTTATTAAAACAACTTGAAAACCTTTTTCGAAATTTTTTTTTTTTTTAAAACTAAAAAAAAATAAATTATAAATAAAAACAATTAATAAAATTATTGAGTTGTAATCAACAAAACGTGTCTCTCAATACGTACGTGTCACAAAAAAAAAAAAAATTTCTAATAAATTCATAAAAGCCACGATTTGAAATTGAAATTTATAAAGTTGAATGATGAAAAAAGGGGGGTGGGCGGAAAGGAGAGGGGGGAAATTTCAAAATTGGAGTGTAGAAAGGGAATAGAAAAATATTTTTTTAAATAAATTCAAAATGTGTTTTTTGGTTTTCCAAGTGACAAAATGTGTAACTGCAGATGACTTACAATTTTTAGCAATTTAAATTTTTGAATTTTTCACATAAAATTTATTCAAAACCTGACGGATTAAATAACAAACAAAATATCTAACAAACACCGCAAAAACCGATGATGATGATGATAAATACAAACAACGACGAAATATTTTTTTTACGATAAAATTAAAAATATATCGAATTCGAAATAAATAAATAAATTTTTTTTTTATTTATTCTAGAGCCACTAAAAATGTGTCGTCATCATTCATCTCATTATTATTATCACTGCCCACGTAGAATTTCTCCATTTTTTTTTTTTTTTAATCATTTAATTACATAAATCCCTCTTGAGGGATCTAATTAAAATGAAGTTAATTATTTTTTAATAATTGGTATGTAATTCCAACTCGAATCAATTCCGGTAATACGAAAAAAGGGGGTGAAGGGTAGGAGGGGGAGGGAGATAAGAAAAAAATTAAAAAATATAATTCTGGAGGAAGGGGGGGAGGAAAAGGGAACGATATTTTTTTTTCTTGTCGTTTACTCGTAATTTTAATTTCCTTTCCTATCTTTCTCCCTCTTTCTCCCTCTCTCTCTCTCTTTCTCTCTCTCTCTCTTTCTCGTTTTCTTAATTATAATGAGAAATTTAACATTTACATTACCTGAGCTTTAACTCCAGCCAACCGAATGAGTACCATGTTTAACTCTTGTTGTTTGACGCTTATATCTTCCTGTAGTTCGTTGACCTTGTTAAAAAGGTTGCTATCAATGCTCCTGATAATAGAAAAATAAAATTTTACACACTTTTTTCTCTTTGATTTAATAAAAAATAATAATTTTTTTTTTTTATAAATTTACCTCTGTTGAACTCTGGTTAATGTAAGCAAAGCATCCGATAATTGTTTTGCTTGGGATTCCAAATCCAAATGTTCTTTTTTAGCCGAATCGTGTTTTTCTCGTACCTGCGAAGTCGTCAACCTATCTAAAATTATTTCATTTTTCAAAGATGGAGGAAGATTCTAGAACGAAAAAAAGAAAGAAAAAAACATTATTATTTTTCGTTGCTTTATGGGATTTTTCCTCTTTTTTTTTTTCTATATATTATTAATCACGAAAGGTAAAGTTTTCAGTTAATAATAATAACACCGGTTGTTACAAACGAGGTAGCCATTTTTTTTTTTTTATTAATAATTCAATATTCGATTCAAACACACGCCAAAGTTAAAATATTTAACAAATAAAAAAATCTATTTTTTTTTCATTTACGACTCACACAATCTTCCCCGTGCCTGAAACATATACGATTAAAAACGAATCTTTTACTTTCCTGCTGGAAAACTCATAACAAAAATTTTCCTTCATTTCAAAAGTTCAAATAATTTTCACGCGTCACGTCAAAAAACAAAACATTAATAATAAACCAAAAGACCAAATGAGAATTTAATCAATATGGGATTTAACAATAGGAAAAATTCATTTATTTTACTTTCTGTTGTTGATGAGGGGGGGGGGGAGAAATTGGCACGTCGATGGGAAAAACCCAGAAAAAGAAAAATGAAAATTTTTTTTTTTTTTATTTTAACGACAAAAAATAAAAGAGGAAAAAATCATGGGCGGTAGGGGGGAGGGCGGAAATGAAAGGTTAAAAACTCAAATTTTTGTCACTTTTGTTATTTCAAAAAAAAAAAAAAAAAAAGCTTTGATAATTTTTCTTTTACCCCCCCCCCTCCCACGCTCCTTTTTTTTTTCTTGTCTCAAAAAAAATAAATTGACATCTTTTATAAATATTTTTGTGAGAAAAAAAAATTTTCTTTTTCTTTTAAAAATTGTATTTCAAATGAAAAAAAAATATTACACCTTTTTGAAAATTTTTTTTTTTCTTCTTCTTCTTTTAACCGTCAAACTTTTTTTTTTTTTTTTAACTTAAGTAAAAAAAAAAAAAAAACTCAAATAATTTATTTGAAAGTTTCAACTTACAGTTGATGAACTAGATTCTTGCATTTGACCACCATCTGTTTGAGATGGAGGAGGAGGAGGCTGAGGTGGAGCAAAATGGCGTCGAACGGGAGGATGATTTGATGGTGTCGTAGTTGATCGAACCAAATGCATTAAATCCGATGAACCTTGTACTAATTTACATTGTGATGTTAAACCGTCGTACCTTTTAGCTTGTTCCTGTGCCTGAAAAAAAATTTTTAATATGGATACAATTAATTAATTTTATAAAAATAATAATAATAATTTTTTTAAATAAGTTTTCTTTTTTTTTTTAAGAGAAAAGTTTAATTAGTTAAAGTTTTTTAATGTCTGAAAAATTATAATTGGAACAAATTTTTTCTCTTTTTCCAATTAAAATTTTTTCCCGCGTCTCCCCCTACCCTATAAGGAAAAAAAAAATACAAAAAACCGATTTACTTGGGGGGGGAAGGGAAAACTCACCCTTGATGATATTGTTTCGGCAACTTGTAAAATAGAATCAGATACTTTTGCACATAAATCGTTGTAAATATTTTCGACTTCCTACATAGAAAAAACAAATAAAAACTTTTATTAATTAAATATAATTTTTATAAAAATTACATAAGCTACATTTATTTGGAAGACTTAAAACAAAAAAGCTAATTCAATCATGTGAAAATTGATATAATAAAAAAAAAAAAAAACAAAAGAAAATTTGAGAAACCTTCCAGGCAGCAGCAACAGCAGAAGCATCTGGAAATGTCAACTCAATTTTTTTTTTTTTTAAAGGTAAACTCTTACGTCAACCAAAAACAAGAAAATAAATTTTTCTCTCTCTCTCTTTTTTTTTTTTTTTTTGTTAAATTCAATCGATTTTTATTTCAATTTATTTAATTAGAAAGGAAAATGGAAAATGGGAAAACTTTAATTATTAATAATAACAAAAAAAAATAAATAAATAAATAAACGTGGATAAAATTAAATTTTTTTTTACGTAACAAAATAATGATAAATTAAATAATATAATAATAACTGTCAAATTTAAGAAGAAGATGAATGAGATTCACGTCATTCATTCATTCATTCATTCATTCAGTCATTCATCACGAATTAATTAATTCTTTTTTTGTTACCTGTAATATTGAAGGTAGAGTTTCGGAATGATATTGGTTGAGCATACCGTTGGTAAAATGTAGTTGGCTTACGTATTCGTTGTGTGAGGCAACATAATTTGACAAAGTTTGAGTCGATGGATTATTCATATAAGCTAAATAAGCCGTCTTATATTCGATTCTTGTTTTACCTAATTTATCTTCTGCTTGTTTAACATAATTTTCATACGTGTCCCTGTGCGAAAATACTTTTCGAGATTGAATTTTTCTAAAAAATGATTTTTCTAATAACGGCCTCGATATCTGTTTTATAAAAAACAAAAACGATTAAAATTTAATAAAAAGAATTTTCAAAAGTGGATGGAGGAGGGGGAAAAAAACTATATTTAAATATAAAGCCGAAATCTATTTCCGTTTTAAAATTTTCTTTGCTTTCTTCAAAAATTTCCCTATTATTATTATTATTCATTTTATCCTATTTTATTTGGAAATAATTTAAATATCGAAAAACAAAATATTTATTATTTATTTATTATTTATTTATTCATGATTGATTGATTGATTGAAAAAAAAAAACAAATTTATGAGTACATATGTAAACGCGAATGTTTTTTCTTTCTTTTTCAAATAGAAAATAAATATATGTAATATTATCTAACATATCGTATCCTTACAATAAATAAATAAAAAAAATTTTCTAGAAAAAATATGAATCGGTACATATATCTCGAAAAAATAACTTTTTCTTTTTTCTTTTTAATAAAAATTGTTATGAAAAGAATGTAAGAGGAAATGAAATGTCCGATTTTCAAAATCCCTATTTATAACCTTTTATTACAAGTGGGAAAAAAAAGAAGAAAAAGGTTTATACCAAACGATAAAAGAATGATCGAGAATGTGTGTGTGTACATTTGGATTTTTTTTTTTTTTTATGGTATGTACCTGTCTGGCAAGGATGCTGGCAATTTCCGAATGATTTTTAGAATCCATTTCAACTTCTTGTAAGAAAACTTCCCAACTGTGAAACAACGAACTCGGACAAGAAGGTTTTTCCTTACGAAATTCCGTATTTTTTTTACGAAAATTAGATACGAGTACTTGCATTTCTTCAGCGTGTTGCTCGTAAATTTGAGCTAATGATTCGGCAAATTCGCTAACTGAAAATTTAAAAAAAAAAAAATGATTATAAAATTTTTTTTGACATTTAATTAAAAACCTTTCAAATGTAATTAATTAGGAGGGGAGGGGGGAGGGAAAGGAAGAGGAAAAAAAACAAGTTTTGGAGTTAAATTATGAAGAATTTTTTTTTTTTTTGCAGCGCAGGCTGCGAGACGATTTTTTTCGTATTCGTTGCTAGGTTACGACGTTATTTCAACTTTGTCCTTTGACCTTTTCACATTAAGAAAATCTTAGGGTGTTGGGTTGTTGACCTAATCGTACAAATAAATTTTTTGTGGTTGGTCATCCATCTATTTTACATATGATCATATATTAATCGTCACTTTCAACAATTTTTTTTTATTTCGGGCAATAAAGTTTTCAAGTTTTTTTACGATTTTGTTATAAATAATATTTCCTTTTCATCTTTAATTTTTTATAAATAATTGCATAAAAAAAAAATTTATTTAAATTAAAAATTTGAAACCAAACAACACTCCTTCAATCAAAAACTCCTTCGTTTTTTTTTTTATTCTCTACAAATTCATACACAAGTTTAAAAAGTTATTTAATCGGTTTAAAACTTTTAAAATATATTTTTCTTTTTTAAATCATTTTCTATTACGGGCTTAAAAAATCTCTCCAGAGATGTAGAATATTACAAAAAAAAAAAAAATTTTCCCAAAAGAAACATTTTATCTTTCTTTATTTTTTTTTTTATGCCCCCCTCCAAAAACAAAACAAAAAAATGGTTTACGTAACAAAAAAAAAAAAAATAACTTTTAGTATAAATAATTGTACTAATTTATTGCATTACAATTTTAAATGATTTAAAAAAGAAAAA